GAGTTTGAAAGTTGCAGAAATTTAAGGTTCAGTGTTGCAGAGATTTATCTCTTCGCGTTCGCGAGAGGAGCCTCGCGTTCGCGAAGAAGGAATTGAGGAACGCCAGGATTTAGCCTTCGCGTTCGCGAGATGGGCTTCGCGTTCGCGGAAGGCTGGGATGCAGTGCATCCGTTCGCGAGAGGGAACTCGCGATCGCGTAGAGTAATTTGGGATCGAGGTTCTTTTGTTCGTCGCGTTTGCGTAAGGTGTTTCGCGTTCGCGTAGAGTAAAATTTGGTCAATGCGAGTTTTTGCTTCACGAACGCGAGAGTCTGACCGCGTTCGCGAAGAAGGGAAGTCAGACCTGGGCAGAATGTTTTTAAGTCGTCTTGTCCGCGATTTTGGGTCTATTTTCACCCATAGTTGATCATTTTGAGAGCTTTTTGAAGAAGATTAAAGAGGGATTCAAGGGGAAACAATTTGAGGTAAGATTTTTGGACTTAAAACTCGATTCTATTGTGTAATCTACCTAGAAAATCATGGAAACTTAAGCTAAAAATGGAAGAACTAGGGCTTGGAATTTTGGACCTTTGATTTGGGATTTGAAGGGTCATTTGTGGGCGGATTTTGATGTTTTTGGTATGTATGAACTCGCGGGGAGATAAGGAACCTATTGGTGTAAAAATTTCTGAGTTTCGAGAAGTGGGCCCGGGGCTCGGGTTTTGCTAATTTCGAGAATTTTGGTATTTTTCGATTGTTTTCGCTTGGGCTTTATTCCCTTAGCATATTGTGACGTATTCGTTCTGATTTTGGATAGATTCGACGCACGTGGAGGCCAATTCGAAGGTCAAGGGCGTCGCGAGCTAGGGATTTAGCCGGTTCGAGGTGAGTAATGCTTGTAAATGATGTTCTGAGGGTTTGAAACCGCGGATTGTGCATCGTAGTACTATATTGAGGTGAGGCACACGCTCGATGACGAGCGTGGGGTCGTGTACTATTAGGAATTCGGACTTGGTCCGTCCCGATTGATGATTTTACCGCGTATTTGATTTAAAACTATTTGTTATCATCGTTTATTGGGCTGATTGCCATATTTGGGCTTCGTGCCAAATATTTGAACCCTTTCGGGGCTTTTATTTGATATTTCCTCACTGTTTTGACTTATTATTTGAACTCAGTCATGTTATTTTCCACTGTTTACTACTCATCCGTTTTTACTCAGTTTTAAGACTTAAATGATACTTTAAATGATGTTTTGGGCTGAGAAACACTGTTTTACTATTGCCCGAGGGGCTTGTGATGATTTTGACTGAGTAAGGCCGAGGCATGTATTGTGAGGAGATACTGATACTGATTGGAGGCCGAGAGCCTGAGATATGTACGCCACGAGGTGGCTTGATTGATATGAGGCCGAGGGCCTAGATTTGATGCCACGAGATGGCTTGTTATTGCGCTTGGGCCGTAAGGGGCCCCTCCAGGAATCTGCACACCCCCAGTGAGCGCGGGTACCCATTGTGATGTGAGATTGAGCTCGAGGGGTTGTTACTGTTGTGAGTTGTTGCCCGAGGGGCGGATGTGGTGTTACTATGCCCGAGGGGCAAATTTCTATTTGTTTACGTTATCATAATTACCTGTCAATCATCTGTTTTATTGGTTTAAAGAGCAATTTCCTTGATTTGTACTGCTTTTACTGAAATTAACTGATTTTACTGCTTCATTGTAGACTGCCATATGCTTTACGTGTTTTCTTGCTTTCAGTCATTATTTATATTCATTACTCACTGAGTTGGAGTACTCACTTTACTCTCTGCACCCTGTGCAGATTCAGGCGTAGCCGGTTCCGCTCCAGAGTGTTGATCTCCTCCAGTTCCAGGCGGGCTTTTTCAGAGATTACGAGGTAGCTGTTGGCGTCCGCAGCCCCGTGTCTCTATCTCTCTATCATTTCTGTTTCTTTCCAAACAATTGTAGTAGTTTATGACTTTAGCAGACTATATTGTGGTTCATAGATGCTCGTGACTTGTGACACCCCGGTTAGGGCTGTGTTGGGTTGGATTTTCGCATTATTCGGCTGCACAATTCCATTTCCAAATCCTCCGTTAACCATCCGAATTCATCCCGAAGCCCTCGGGACCTCAACCAAAAATACCAACAAGTCACATATCAACATTCAAACTTAGTCGAACCTTAGGAACACTCAAAACAACATCAACATACAAAATCACCCTCGGATTCAAGCTTAAGAACTTCTAAACTTCCAATTTCCGCAAACGATGCCGAAGCCTACCAAACCTCGTCCGAATGACCTGAAATTTGCACACACGTCACAAATGAACTACGAACCTACTCCAACTTTCGGAATTCCATTCCGACCCCGATATCAAAATTTTCCACTACCAACCAAAATCGCCAAAATTCCAATTTCACCAATTCAAGCCAAAGTCTACCACGTACCTCCAAATCACATTCCGGACGCGCTCTCAAGTCTAAAATCACCTAACGGAGCTAATCGAACCATCAGAATTCACATCTGAGATCGCTTACACATAATTCAACATTCGGTTGACTTTTCCAACTTAAACTTCTAAATAGGAGACTAAGTGTCTCATTCCACACCGAAACCACTCCGGACCCGAACCAACCAACACGATACGATGAAATACAGCCGAGGAACACATAAGGAAGCATAAATGGGGAAAACGGGGCTATAACTCATGAAATGACCGGCAGGGTCGTTACAATATACAATTTGTTTATACAAAAATATAACTACACAATATGTATCAATCATGTATAAATTATGTATATAACCTGTATATAGTGTATATAAATATTATAGTATATATACACAATCTATGTACATATTGTGTAGTATATATACACTATATAATCATGTATAAAAAATTCAACATACGCTTTGGATATACAAACACGTTCGAAATACACTCAATATACACAAAGTGCATTGCCAAACCTAGGATATAATGTATATACAACTTTTATACAAAGCTACAATACAAATTATCGTATATGTACAACTATACATATGTGTATATAAAATATTTAATACATTGTATAACTGTATAGATATAATATTTATACAAAATTAAATATAAGTACCATCCAGCTACCTTATTAAACCCAGACCCACCATCGACACTTAATGTAGAAGGGAGGAGTTTCAGATTCCTGAATTTCCACATTGTCACCCTAAACTTTATAATAAAAAGACCATAATGCATCTGAGTTTGTCAAATGCACAATTACCCCCTCGTCGTACCTTTTCTTGGCGTAGAAATTAAAGGAATACGACAATTGATCAAAAAAGAAGTGTTATTTGTACATTATGCCTCTTTATAATTTTAAAATTAAGAAAATAATCTTTTTAGATCTCTTATGCGTAAAAGACAGATCTCTTACATGTAAAAATAAATCTCTCATGTGTAACAAAAGAGATAGGATCATCAAAACGAATAACTGGATTTTGAAATATATATATATATATATATATATATATCAGATCATTATGCTTTTAGTTTTAAGATTGATTTCTTAATTTTTAATTAAAGTTAGCATACTGGGTAATTATACGATAAGCGACATTATTAAAGATTGTTAAAAGTAAGAAAACTGAAATTGGCCCGTCAAAATTTTTGGACGAATTATAAAATGAAATAAAATAGTGAGACAGGTTGATTATTGATCAATTATAAATCTCTTTTTGGCATAAAACTAATTAACTATATCAAGAAAATGTTTGATACGTGATCGGAAGTTGAATGAATATTTTAACTCAGCCCAAGATATTTTAGCACATTCAATTTCTACAATATTCGCAAAGGTGACACATTCAAATGAAAAAATATAAAATAAAATAAAAAGCTATATATAGTGTTTAGAATATGAAAAAGTTATAGAACGAAATCCATGAGCTTTGTTAACGGAAGTGGAGATCTTGATTTTGCCTTTGCTTTGTCCACACATGATGAATTGACAACATTGTTTGGTTTTGGACAAAGAAAGAAACTTCGACATCCCAAATTCACCACTTTCTCCTCTGTCTTCAAACCTGCGTATATCCAACATGTCAACATAGATAATCAAAGGTTTCAATAATTTCCATTTATATGACACCTTCATTTTCTTAGATTTAATTATGCAGCAAGCTTGTGTATAAACGAGTCTTGAGAAAATGCCACTTTTTAGGCAAATCATATTGTTTTGTTTTAAAATTTTAATGTCTATATAAAACCAATAAATATAATACATGTGTTTATATATAGATTTTTCTCATTTAACTATACTTAACTCTATATATATATATATATATATATATATATTATTAAATCACCTATGGGTGAGGGGTCACCGGACCCCGTAAACTTCGGATGAGAACTTGTATATATATATACGTATATATCTTGAAAATGGTTAATTTAAAGCCGTTGGCACCCTGAACACTAAAAGCCTTTAGGGGGCACTGATTGAGCAGAATAATGTGCCCCCGTCGCGTAAAAATCCTAGGTCCGCCTCTGGATGTAAGCACTCGGTGCAAGTAAATTTTTACTCACATACTATGAGAGATCTTATTGTACAAAAAAATAGTACTTAGTAGATAATTCCTGGTTAACCCGTGAATGGACCAAACCATGATTGTTTAAGTCATGTTTAATTAAGCTTTACGCCTTAATGGATTAGTTATATCAAATAGAGTTAAACTAAAGCACAAATAACACTTAATTCTTAAACAAAGACCGAGATCTTTAAACGAAGAAAATATTTCGCACGTAACCATGCATGTGGCTATACAATTTTAACATGTGCAAAAGATTGTCTTCAGTACACGTTGCTGCAGGGAAGACACATGCATGGAATATGATGCACAACCACAAATACAACGAAACAAGTAATCCTGATAATAATTGTATCCATTGCTCAGTCATTTCTTAATTCAGTGTTAATCGGTGTTAGAAACGGAATTTTAGCTAAGGGGTTCAAAAAAGAAAAATACGTATTAAAAAATTAAAAGAAATTATAGCTAGTCGAAATTGAACCAATAATATCACAACGATTTTTGAACCCCCTTAACTACTAAACTATACTTTTAGACTATGTCAAGGGGATTCAAAACATAATATATAAATTAAAGATAAAAAATAAATTTTGCCTTATATATACAATATAATTTTTAGGGACTCGGGTGAAGCCCTTCCTCCCCAAATCCGCCCCTGGTGACTGGTGTCAATAGTCTAAATGTATCATTTTTCCACTAATAATGTAATAGGAATTAAATTAAATATAAGGCTCACATACAAACTATACGTCATTACAAATTACATACGGGAGACCTAATATCTTAGGACAATCAAGGGCACTGTTTTTAAATATAGTATAATTTTTTTTTAAAAAAAAAAATACAAGCATAGAATTCAAGTTAAAATCGATACATGCACATACCGCGCGCACTAAATGTTAGTTGCATTACAAGACAATTTACATTGATAGTGTAAAGAATTATATCACCATAATGTGATATTAGCCATCAGTAACATATTGTATCAGATTGTTATCTTATTGACTTATTCTACGGGTTATAAAATTTACATTCTATAAATTGATAGAATTAAGAAAATTAAGAAATTTTAAACATGTCATATCAGTGTATAGAAGTCAAATTCAATTGGGTGGTTGAAACTTACTATCCAAACTGAACTGTGAGTAATGAACCCCGTAACACAGAGGATCACCACTAGGCAACAGAGGCCGCCGCTTCTCCTTCACGTAAATCTCAATCGCCGCCCTTACCAAATCTCCGACGGTGTTCTCCGGCGACATCACCACATGCACCGGTCCCAAACTATTCTGAATGTTCACATTTAGCAACAACTTCGTTAACTTGTGTTGCTTCACATTTCCGGCCTGAACATCTATAACGGCCGGATTTGTATGTGCGACCGCGAGTCTCGGTGCCGCTCTTCCGCCGTGCACGGTGGTAGCACGACGCTTTACTGGAGATAGGGACGATGCCATTTTTTTAAAAATAAAGTGATGGATTAAAGATAGATAATTCAGTTGATAGAATTAATATCACAAACTATATATTAGTGCGAGTATTTTTTTTTTTAATGTTCTGGAATTGTAGAGATGTGTTTGTGTTTGGACGATAGTGTATATTACGTAATTGGAGGGGTTTGGTGATAATGAAATTTGGCAGATATCTAGGCCATATGAAATCATTTTAATTGATGGATTTGTACTATGTTGAGGGGCACGAAATTTCTCGGAAATAGCTGGTGCTACTGCTCCCTACTTCTGTCCGAGAAGATTTATTGTGGGAGTCGGAACTTTTTTATTGTTTTTTTGGACAAATGTTTGTAAAAAAAAAAAAATTACTTTTCGATATATAACGCCGAAATTCGCCGCGCTATACCTTAACGGTAATTTTTACCGTTAAGGTATAGCGCATGGAATAAGCGTGCTATACCCCCTAATGATTTGACTGCCAGGTATAGCGCATAGAAATCAGGCGCTATACCTATAGCGCATAGAATTAGCGCGCTATACCCCTGATTAAATAATCCCCTTCGTCTTCCCCGAAGACCAGAACTCCTCCTCCCCCATTTTTTTACTTCCTTTCGATTTCGATTCTGACCCCCCCCCCCCACACCCCCCACCCCACCCCTTGTCCTCTCTTTAAAAAAAAATTGTGGGCCCCTCCCGTCATACAAAACGCTAAGAACGTAGGTCCCACATCGTAGTAGAACATCGTATTATTGTGGTTTCACTCTTTCGGACTCAAATTTTCAGCCAATTTACTTTTCGAAAATATTAAATCGAGGTATTTCGATTTATTTTATGTCGAAACTTGTATAATAATGCATATTAGTTGATTTGAATGTGTTTCCATGTCGTTTTATGTTTTATTTGCGAAACTAGTATGTTATATTTATCCGGACTTAGATATTAGTGTTCTAAAAAAATGTAAAATTGAGAAATAATTTTTTCTGTTAATATCCGGATTTAAATATTAGTGTTTCCATGTCGTTTTGTGTTTTATTTGCGAAACTAGTATGTTATATGTATTTTTGTGAATGTTATGTGATTAAAATGTATTTGTTGTTAATATTTGTTTTAGATTATTTATTAGCGTAGTAAAATGTAGAACCTTTTAGCGTAGTAAAATGTAGAGCCTTTTACCCGGACTCCGCTCAAGCTTCCATTCAACAACTGTCCGGGGTTAAAGTGCTGCAGTGCGGCCATGTACCTGGGCAGAGCTGCAAATGATTTATCCCAGTTACCATAGACTATTTCAAACGCTCGTTTGCACCCGAGATATGCCTTTCTTTTGGTAATGGTATGGCCATGTTCCTGGTGGACTGATGTAATTCACTCTTTGATTTTTTACCTTATGGACGCTTCGATGTGTGGAATAAGGACAAGAGAAATCAAGTCCATATCCAAGTTGAAGTGATTCCCGTTGAATGTGTTCATTTCGCATGTGTGGGTGGAAATGTATTTACCCACTTTCCACAGACCTGTCTTCTTCTTGCTCGCACGCAACATCCAATAACATGGCCAAAACCACCTGTGACAAACAACCTTGTATACAACCGGACTTGACTCCCATGTCGTCATCTCACGACACTCTTTTACGTTGTGCATTTTACAAGCCCTGCTTACGCGCGCTTTATCAGGAAAAAGCATGCCCTTTGCCAGTACCGTTAGTCTAGACTCATCCCACATTGCTGTCCGAATTTCATCAAAATCCCTTGTGAGAGCTTCCACATCCGGCATGCTTGACAAGTTATCAAGGTAAGGAATCTCCCTTGAATGAAACGACACTTGGGACTCGTACACTCTTCGTCTAGGGGGGGAGGGGGTGGAGCATACTCTCTCGTCAAATCAGGTCCTTCCATCTCATCCTCCTCATCACCATCCTCACGAGGAAAGGGTGTCACGTCTCCAGATTCATCAGCATTGTTGTCGTAATCATTGTTCTCTTCCTCACTCTGTGCATCTGCCAGATCCCGATTTAATACGTCGTCTTCGGGCAATTGAGTGAGTACATGTGGTTCAACTTGCTCGTTTTTACTGCACAATCAACAAAATAATAAGCTACTGAAATTAATAAATACTTTCCATATAGTTGTATCACTTCACTTACAAGTCATAATGTGATGAAATTCCATGATGGATATTTTTATTTAGGTGATGACTCCCGGATGGACCACCATGATCCAACACACCAAAACTATGCTTGGGTTCATAATTTGTAAAATTCATATACGGCCGGTACCCCCTGTTAAATATATGAGCATTAATACAAATTCAATACAACAAAAATGTACATCGTAACACAAAGAAAAATTGAAGTTTACCACTCGTCTTGTGAATTATGCAAAGCAGGCGGTGATAAGTTTAAATCAAAGAAAACTCTTTCATCCGGAACCTGTCCGGCAAAAACTGCTCCAGAATAACCACCCGATGAATGGGGGTTATCCGGAACCTATCCGGCAACCTCATTGTTGGGAACGTCTTCGACCTTGACGTACATATCCAACATTTTGATTACAAGAAATTCCTGGTATTCATCCGGAGTCCTCAGAAAATCTCTCAAAGTTTCATCATCGTCGATGTTTAACTCCGAGTAAAAAGCAACCCCTTGCGGAGTGACGTAATACGGATATCTTCCGGTTACTTTAAGTATCACTGAACGTTTCCTCACACTCATTTTTTTGCATAACAACGATATCAATTTATCGTATTCCATTGTAAGTGGTAATTTAACATGACCCTGTGGAGATAAACTGCACCTCACAGAGTTATTATCCATCACAACCTCATCCCCCCCCCCCAATATACTGAAACTCTTATTCTACGTTCTTCAGACATTATGAAAAAATGCTTGAGAATTTAACAAGAAGAAGAACGAGAGTTAGAATTTTTTTTGAATGGATTTTCCTAAAATCCTAACCCCTTTATATAGGAAATGGGCCCATGAACAGGTATAGCGCATGAATTTACTGCACTATATATGTATAGCGTTTCAATTCCATGCGCTATACCTGGCAGTCAAGTCGTCAGAGTATAGCGCACAGATTTTCGGTGCTAAACAAGTATATCGCAGTAAATTCACGCGCTATACTTTAACGGCAAAAGTTACCGTTAAAGTATAGCGCGACGAATTTCGGCGTTATATATAGAAAGTAACTTTTTTTTTACACTCATTAACGTAACATTTGTCCAAAAAGACAATGAAAAAGTTTCGGTGCCTCGCACAACTGACATTAGTTGTGTGAGGCTCCTTTTGTCTCACAAATTTGTGGACCCCAATCTTATACTTCTGAGTCCACAAAAATTTGGGTCCACAAAATTGTGAGACAAAAAAATGCTTCATACGACTAGTGTCAGTTGTATGAGATACAAAATAAAATTTTCCACTTCCGTCCCCTCAACTTTGCTAAATTAATACTTGCTCTTAAACTTTTCAATTTGTTGAAATAATTGACTAGTAATTTTACCGATAAAGGTCTGTTTCACACTTAATAACACATTAAATATAGTTAAGTGTAGTAGTCAAGTTTAGAGAAACTTTCAGAAACCACTATGTTTTAGTGGTTATTAGCTAGTTGTAACTACCATTTACTATATTACTTTCCATAACTATATTTTCAGGTTTTTTAGAGTGTATTCGATGTATTTAAGCTACTGTATTCATAAATACAATAGCATTTCTAGTCGTGAAATAGGGGATTACAGCTAGACAGATTTTTGTATTCGACTATATTCACGGCGTGAAACAGGGGATTACAGCTAGATATATATTGTATTCGACTGTATTCACGATATGTAATTGTGAATACAGTAACGTAAATAGCGCAAATCGTGGTCTATTCAGCTGATTTTAAACGGAAAGTGAATCAATTAACGCAATAAACTCCTAATATAACTCAACTAACTCAATTATAAGTCTGAATACATAAAGCCATCTGAATACATAAATTATATTAATTCAAAAAATATGAATACATTCATGGAATATAGCGAGACAGTAAATAAAATGAAATAAATGGAATACAGCGAGATACATTGAAATACAATGAAGAAAAAAGACAATGAATACAATGAAATACATATAATACAGCGAGATACATTGAAATACAATGAAAAAAACGGTAACAGACTCTTCGAGTTGCTTAGCCGCAAAACTCCGAATACAGCGAGATACATTGAAATACAATAAAAAAAAAAAAGGTAACAGACTCTTCAAGTTGCTCAGCACCAAAACTCCGTCGTCTTTGTATAGCTGATATAGGATCTTGTTCAAGAATAACCCTAAAGTCGTCTCGTTGATAGCAGATTTCGACGAATTTTCACTTTGTTTCCATCGGTAACCGGTGAAACGAAATTGCTTTGATCGCCGGAGATTTTCAATGGAGGAATGGAATCAGCCGGCGTTTTCGGCATCATAAATTTCAAAACTTTCCAGTTCAAATCCATGGCAAAGAGATGAGATTCGAAACTGTACAAACAAGAAGCTCTTTAAAAGTAAGCACCATGCTGTTAAACGAACAAGAACTTCTGGAACTAAATTTCTTTGCCGCCTAACTTTCGCAAATTACTGTTATAGCAACATTACAAGATTGAAACATATGCATTGATAAAAACAATAAAAGACGATGTGGGTGAGAGAGAATTTCAGTTGCAGAATCGTTTTCTGGGGAAGATAATGGCGTGTATCAAATTAGAGAGAGAGAATTTGGAGAGAGAAGTTTACATCAAATACGGTAATTATGTGAGAGAAAAATTTGAAAAAGGAGAGAGAAAAATAATAATTAGCGTATATAGTGGCTTAAGGGTAAGAGTTAATCATAAATAAATATTTTGCTAGAAACATTAAAAGGTAGCTATAAAATATAATTTTTTAAAATGATATTTATTTAAAATAAATAAGAAGTTAAGCTTTGCTATAGGAGGTAAAAATTCCTCAAGTTTACAGCTAATCCATGGTTTTTTCCTGGCCTTCATTTACAAATGTTATAATTAGCGATGGACGCCCCTTAATTATCCGACCTAACCTGGACCGCCAGATATTTAAACAAGATTTTTCACTTGTACCTAATATTTGAAAAGGTAAAATTGAAACTCGTCTAGAGACAACTCAATCTTTAAAGTTTAAACTACATAAAATTATGGAGACTAAAGTTTTCG